CAGCACCAGCACCACCATCAGCAGCACCAGCACCACCAGCACCAGCACCACGACAGCTTTCTGAGCACCTGAACAATTGATCCTGTAGTCCCACTGCCTTTGTCCCTAGCCCTGGCGGAAGTAGTTCTGAGCTCCCGCGCAATGATCACGATGATCGCGGTTGTCGTGGTGATGATTGAATTCTCGGCTTGCCGCTCCTCGTCCGGAGAAGGGTTCAAGGGCACGCATGCTTTAGTGATGTTAACCTATACGGCAAAAGCTCATCTCAGAGGGAACATGGAGAGAGATACCACACAAGTTTGTGCTCCTTGTGCTTACCAGGGCGCATCAGATCATCAATGGCTTGGAGCGATTACTCTTGCTGGACTTCAAGCTTACATACCAGTTCGGAACTCTTGCATAAGGTGCGTGGCATTGAGCGTGCAAAGCCTCAAGCAATACTGTGCCCATACCCCGGACCCTCTGTAAGGGAACCACAATTTACGTTAAACCATCAATATGCAAGAGATCATTTCTACTGAGCAGGCCGCTGTGAAGGACAGGAGGGAGCCTTTCTTTGAGCGCCCCAGAGGTCCAAAAAGTGAAGCTTTCCGTACCCTGAAATGGAGACTTCTCTCTACTTTCCTGATGAATGAAAGCAGCTGCCCAATCCCGAATCTACACCCAACATCCAACAGTCCATAAACCTTGCCTTCTTCAGCCTCGGTCTCCAACACCAAACTCGAAATCCTGAACTCTCAGCCTCAAACCAGATTCACAACCAATGAACGCTCCGCATTGCGATCTCTTCTGCAAAGAATTCGCCTCCCCAAGAAGAAAGCTGGGGCGCGCAAACCACCGTGCATGAACTTCAAACCTTCATGTCCTGCAGATACCGAACATTCAACAGCGCCAGCGACGTCACATCCATCCCGCCCAACCTGAAAAAAGGCCCGCATCTCAGCTAAGCGGCGGAGGACAACACGGATCATGTTGTGGGTGAGGCCCCGACCGCTGTAACAGACTTCCGTTGGGGAGTGAGAGGTTGATCTGCGACTCTTGAAGCATACCGCTACGTTACAGTAAACAAATAGAACTCTATGGTTTTAAGTTTGTCCCCGACGCAGTTTGCCACAAAATCTTGAATGCAACTGGTACGGAGACGTGTGAGATAAAGACAGAACTCCTTTCTTCAAGCCCTGCGATGGATCCCGTGTAGGCCCTACATAACCCATCATGAACGTCGTGGATGTGTGTGTTGCCTGTACATCTAGCAGCCAGATACATCCGAGCCCGGCATAACGAATGTGTCTACATGTCGAGCATGAAGGACTTACATTTGCACATTAAAGTCATGCTCCGTGATTTTCAAGGCTGCTTTTGAGGAGGTACAAAGTCGAACAAGGATCCCTGCACTCAGAGCAGAAAAACGGTGTAGGCGAGACTATGAGAAGTCCTTGCAGCACGTGGTAGAGGCGCCTAAAACAGTTACAGGCATTGTATTTCTTAAAACACACTTGAACTTTTTAAAGAAATGGAATCATTCGCAAGCTCCTGAGACGGCATCAATACGACTTGATTCCCAGCCCGAGGCTGAGTTGAGGTGCCCGCAACAAGTTCGGGTGGGACCCGCACCCAGAGTTAGCCAAGCCTCCAGGTTCTTTAGCTACCCCAGCCCGAATTCTAAGCATAGACCCTGTAACTTATAGGGACTGCAGGGATGCCTTTCGAGAGGTGCCCTTAGAAACCACTTAGGTTGAGAAATACGGACTTTTTGAGTTCTTGGAAAAACCGTTCCTCCGAATGTCAGCATACGACAATCAAAGCTACGCTACATGACGTAAAGCTGGCCGTTCTACGTCCAGGAGCGAATCTGCTTGCGATGCATCGAACTCTGTGGGGATTCGCACCAGCATTACATCCTCGGTCAAAAGCGATCCTACCCTAAACCGTAAACTGTAAGCCCGAAGCCCACAACTCTAAAGTTGCACGGGTCGTGGTCGTGGATGCGTACAAGCTTGAAGATTTAGTTCTTTGCTGTTCATGGCAATGACCAAGTAAACCCCAGTCAGCATGACACCTTTCCCTAACGCTTAACCGTTCCTGGAATCTTGTGAGATCATGAATTTGGCTTCCAACGCATACAGAGACACCCGAAATCAGCAAGCTTCTCTCAGATCACATCCGGCCTCCCTTAATGAGCTACTCGTGTTCAAGGCATTTCTTCCTGACCGAAGGGTTAGGGTTCAGGGTTTAGGGTTTAGGGTTCCTGAAAATGGATGAGGGTAGAGACGTAATTTAGGCATCGCAAGCCCTGGATGCTACAAGTACCCAGGAATGTGAGTACTTGGGACTTTGGTTTTGCGGTACTTGTGCATCCCCTGGCTGGCAAGTGCATATATGGGGGGGGTTTCCCAAAATTAGGTGTATCTTATTGGGGGTTCTCCATAATAAGGATAATAGTATTTTGGGGGATTTTTAGGGTCTGTATTGGGGTCCCCTTATTTAGGGAAGCTACCATATCACACGATAGGCCAATCTGGAATGCATATGTCCGATTTTGCGCGCTTCGCATCGGAGGGAACAAGCATTGGACCACGTGAGCTACACTCCCGGAAACTAACATGGAAACCCAAAAAGGGCCCATAGAGACTACAGTCCTTCTAAAAGGGGCCTATATGGGTTTCCATGTTAGTTTGGGGGAGTGTATAGTCTATACTCCTAGTATCCCCATTAATAACCCCTATAGGCGTCCCCTATGTAATCCCCTTTGTAACCCCCTTTAAGGAGTTTAGACTATAGCTCACATGAGCAATTACAAGGCTTCTTGGGGCAGGCCTTACCTTGCATAAAACTTTTTTTTTGCAAAGCCGACGAGGGGGTTTCCCAAAATTAGGGGTACTTTTTGAGAGTCCCTAGAATAATGATTATGTTATTGGGGGTTCTATATTGGAGTCCCCCTAATTTGGGAAACTACCACGAAGCAATAACAAAAACAGGCTTTCTGAGAAGATGGCGAACTCTTGAAAGCCCTTGTCTTCAACCCTGCAGCTTTCATACAATAAGTCCTGAGTCATGTTGCCATACGTGGCTGGAAAAAAATTACGCTTCCCTGAACCTGGATGCTCTGGGCTTCGAAACGGCCATCAGCGATGAGCCAACAAGGGTGGTAGGAAAATCAGGATTTCACAACAGCAACGGAAGCTGCAAGTTTTGTGGAGCACAAAGGCGCAGGCTTGCATTGAAGACCTCACCA